AAAAAAACAACCTCCGGGTAAAATTTTTCTTTGAATCCTGAGGTCTATAGCTTTAGATTATGTGGATTATATTCAATTATATGATTCCCTTCTTCTCTTAAAGCACTGTAGGATATTTTGAGTCACTGAATTTTAAAAAAGAGAAATATCATTTGGTTCTGAAAATTTACTTGAGAATCTCATGGTGTCCCAGGGCAACTACTGAGTTACCATTAGACACCACAAAACTAGGGGGCAGACTCAGAACATGAAAATTAACTGAGACCTTGGTTCTTACCTATAAAACTGCCTCTTTCGTTGACTTGCCAGTTGCCTTTCATTTCATCTCCCCCTTGAGCCATAAGTTCGGGTTATTGTTTCAGATGGAAAGCTGGGTTCTAAAATGCTTTTTCTCCCTCCTTCTCTCCTCTTCCCCAACCTTGCCTGCACCGTCTCTAGCGCTGAGGATGAAAATAAAAGAAGTGAAAAAAGAAAATGGCGACAAAAAGATTGTCCCCAAGAAGAAGAAGCCTCTGAAGCTGGGACCCATCAAGAAGAAGGAACTGAAGAAGCTTGTCCTATACCTGAAGAATGGGGCTGACTGCCCCTGCCACCAGCTAGACAACCTGAGCCACCATTTTCTCATCATGGGCCGGAAGGTGAAGAGCCAGTACTTGCTGACGGCAATCCACAAGTGGGACAAGAAAAACAAGGAATTCAAAAACTTCATGAAGAAAATGAAAAATCATGAATGCCCCACTTTTCAATCAGTCTTTAAGTGATTCTCCCTGGGTGGGTGGGGAGGGAGCTGTGGGTTGGGGTGAGGGGCGGGGCTGAGCATACAACCCTAGAGCCTGGAGGTCTGTGCTCACTGCCCCTTCGGTTGGTAGAGGACATTGTAATCCAGCTGGCTTTGCTCTGGCAGCTTTCCCACTCCTTCCCCTTCATAGCCACGTTCTAGACCCCAGTACCGCCAGTATTTAAAGCCGCATATCCAGGTAAGGAAAACCATTTAGATTAGGAAGTCTTTTAGGATCTACAGTGTGGAACAACACATTGCTGAGGAAAAGTAGGTGCAAACCATTTCAACCAGAGACAGCCACTAAAAAAGAAAATTTTGCCAGTAAAAACAAACAAACCCCCCAACCAAAAAGCATTGGGAAAAAAGTGAGAGACAGCAGCAAAAAAACTAAGTTCTGCAACTTTCTTTGTGTGGTCACAAATTGCTTGTGGATCTATTAGCTAATCCATGCCTTTGATGTGCTGCTTTCAGTTCCAGAAACTTCTGTCTCTGTCCACCTTATGCAGAAACAAACACACACCACACTTACAACTGAAGATCAATGCCAGAAAATTAAGTGCAGGGAAGAAAAGCACCAGGACAGTATGTAATGGTAAAAACACAGGGAGGTCATCTCTGCTCTGCCTCTCCACGTGATTGTCTTTTGATCTGAATCAGCTAGTCTCAGGTGCCATGGAAGTGGCAGTGAACATCAGCCTTGGTGCGTGATCTAGCCTCCAGACATGTGGAGGGCAGCATGTGCCTGCCTTTGTGTGAGGAAAAGGAAACACCGTGGGCACCAAACCCACGGCATGAGAGGGATGATGATTTTCAGACTGAGAAGGCAATGGTTAGTGGTTTTCAAAGAACATAAAGAGAAAACAAAGAAAAAAATATTAGGAACAGCCCAGCAAATTGCGAGTCAGTGTGAATTGTAATTGGTTGAAGAGCTTAGTGTTCTGATTTCATCCGTTTGCTCATTTCACTTTTGTTTCTGTTTTTATTTCTGTTTTGTTGTTTTTTTTTTTTTTAGAGAACAACAACAAAAACTGTGTTTACTTTCCAATGCTTAAAAAAAAGTCACCATTAACATTTGAAAGACGTACTGGGCTGAGGGTCTTTCCATGCATTTGAGGCTACTTTCTAGCAGAGCTGCTCTCTCACGGGGCATTTGGGGTGGGAAGTGGATTTGCCTGAGAGCAACTTGTGGTCCTCTTTCCTGAGGAGTTCTGGGTTGTCCTGGCCCCAACACAGTGCCAGTCAGAACTCACAGTGCTTCCCATGCCTTTATTTCCTGTGAAGAAGTGGATTCCCTTAAACTTGACTGCCTATAGATCAAAGAAATTCAGAACAGCCAGATTGCCTGTCCTCCTTGTACTTAAAAAAATTTTTTTTAAAAAATTTCTGCAGAGGGAGAGTTAAGTCAAAAATGTCTCCATCTAAGGAGAGAGTTTCAAAGACAACACACATCTCTACAGGTTTCCCTGAGTGCCCGAAGATGTTTCTTAAAACCCTTGTGTTTAATAAGTGATGTACATAAGCTCATTCACAGAAGCAACTTTACTCCTCCTGTTCAGTGTAAGGAAGCCATTCTAAGCAATTAATGTGAATTTGTTCCTCAAGCCTGATTCTTAATTCTCTGTAACACCTGAAGATGGTGAACTAGTGGTTGTCCCTCCGGATGAATGTTTATACCCAATCCAGAAGCTGCAGTGAGGCTGGGAAGTGTCACCCCCATGGCCCTGGACTGACACAGAAACAGTGGAAGATTCTGTTAACTTCTGAAGACTCCAGTCTGAAAATTAGCATACCAACTCATTACCTACCTGAGGGTGATCCTGATATAATTAACCTCTCACCATTAGTGATCTTATTATTTTAACACTTTTGTTTTTTGATTCTCTCTGACCTTTAATCATAAAGTGTTGGGGATCTTAAGTGATTTGCCTGTAATTTTGGATGATTTTCTTTTAAATGTGTATATACATTAGTTAATTAGAAATATTCTACTTTACTATTGTTAACTGAAATTCAGAACAATTTCATGAGTGCATGGATCTGGGCTTTAGTTTTGGTTGATTAACTCATGAGTTCATTGCTTATACGTATCTGCTCATTTTGACAGAGCATCATGCAACAGGCTTCTGCCCAAAGCTGGGCCTTGGGAAGGGTTTTGTGTGGGGTATTAGCTGTTACAGCAGAAACAGTACAGAAGATTAGGTGGCCGTGCTGCGCAGCTGTCTACATGGGAATCCTCAGACAGGAAGTGACATTTTCAGAATGAGTTCAAAATAAATTGGAAATGTGAACTGCAGCTGCACGTTTTACCCCAACCATATGGTCCCAGGACTTTTGAATTTGACTGTGGATTTGAGATACACACTCTTTGTCTACAACACACCAGCAATTTGAGGATGCAAAAGGAGGCTGTGGGCTCAAAACTGCCTTCTTATCACAAACCTTTGTTGAGAAACAACAAACCATTGGTAGAACAGAACCAGTGTATAGACTATTGGCTTGGTCATCGGTTTTTAAAAGAGGAGGTCTGTATGTGATTTATAACTATTGCTAGTTCAAAGGTCATATTTGTAAAGGTGAGAAGTAATCCTGCTGGGTAGGATCCTGTGAAGTCATGGCAGAGCTCAGTTTAGTCTTCAAAGATAACTAGTTCTCTCAGAAGATAGAAAGTGAGAACCCCAAGAACACTTCACCTTTAGAATATCCCATGTGACACTTGGCTCCTGGTCCTGGTGCATTAGCACCAAGGGCTTTTAGAGGCAGAATCCTGTCAGAGCTCCAGTTTTCACTTGGATGTGTTGATTACAGACCCCCATGCTCAGAGCTAGAATGTATATTTCTCATCAGACTCCAATTAAATTGTTGCTCTGTTGCAACTCCACAGCTGTCTCTGAAGTGCACCTTTGGGTAACTCCCACAGAATAATGTAGTGGCCATTCCGATCTGTCACCAGCGGATACATAGGGCACAGGTGAAATTCCCGTTTCCCCTAGTCCCCTCACACAGAGTCTAAATCTTTTACAAAAGCTTTGAATACTGTGAAAATGTTTTACATTCCATTTCATTTGTGTTGTTGTTTTAACTGCATTTTACCAGATGTTTTGATGTTATCACTTATGTTAATAGTAATTCCCGTATGTGTTCATTTTACTTTCATGCTTTTCCTGCCATGTATCAATATTCACTTGACTAAAATCACTCAGTTAATCAATGATAATGTGAGTTGTGTCTTTCCCCCCACCGTCCCCAGTGATAGACCACTCACTCTCTTCCACTGCACATACATCCCCCTGCTTGAGTTTCTTCAGTGATGTTTTCTTGTCCTGGTTTTACAACTTGCAAATGATAACTGGGCCTGGGTGGGCTGGAGGAGCACCTGGGCAGCACTGCCTGATACCTTCACCCCCATCCCACAGTGATCATCTGCTCCTGTGAATAACTTCCAGAAGCGTTTCTCCCAGCTGTGTGTGTTTCAGACCAGAGAAAAGGTTAAATACTTGTTCTACAAAGACTGTGTTTTCAATGCTGCTGTTCTTTTCCATGTTTTTGGTTTCAGATGCCTTTTCCCTTCAGCTAATTCTGGTTAAAATTACCAACTAAAATTTGAAAACTCTCTGGGATCTGGGGTCTTAGACCCACACGAGATCTTAGAGGGAACCATGTCCAACTGTTTAATATACAGATGGAGAAGGTGATAGGGGAAGATAGCTGGGGTTTCATAAGGAGTTTGGGGGTCCCAGGTCAATGGTGTTGCTAGAACCAGAACCCAGGGCTCCTACGGGCTAGACATGTGGGAACGACATCTCAGTTACTGTCCAGCTTCTCTTTGGACCCCAAGTGTGGCACTTACTGAGCCCAAGCTGTTTCATATTAGGTTATATGCCTGTTGCCCAAGGGATTCCTCAGGGTGACTTTTAATTCTGTAAGCAATTACGGTGACAACTTCATTTGATGTCATTGCCTGATTAACAGGGCACTTCCAAACCTCAGACAACTGGCAATTTTACCCAGAAGTGAGCAAATACTGCTGGGTCACCCAAAACCACACCTAAGCGCAAAGACACCATTTCTCAGGCATGGTAGGAGGACTTAGGAAAATTCCATTAAAGTTGTGCTCTAGTATCTAAAGATCTTCCCATACGAATGTACATGACTGGTGAACTAGTGATATGCTAGCCAGGTCAAGGCCAATATTGGCATTTTTCCTTTGTATTCCCTGTGGTTAATGAAAAGGAAAATCTCTTTTAGGTTGGGTAGCATGTCTTTGTGACCCCGCTGAAGCCCCATCACTGTGACCCATGATTTCCCACTGCTGTTTTGAATTTTTTTTAACATATCAGCAAAAAGATGCTGAAATATGTACAAAGGCATCTTGGCTTGTGCTGCTGGAGTCACCCTGGAGTGTGGGGTACCCAAGGGTCAGGACTACTTGAGCCTTGTGCCTAAGACATGCTGCTAGCACCAAGATTGGCAGCCTTGACCTCAACTCTGTAACATCCACATCTCTTCAGGGAATTGTACAGGTGCTCTCCTACTCAGGGGCAGAAAGAGGTGAAGGGTCACAATGTTATCCAAGTTAGGTTGCTCTTACTTCTTAAGTTATTTATTTATTTGTTTATTTATTTGTTTGTTTATTTATTTATTTATTTATTTATTTATTTATTGAGAGAGAGCACAAACAGGGGAGTGGCAGACAGAGAAGGAGAGAGAGAGAGAGAGAGAGAGAGAGTGAGAGAGAGAGAGAGAGAGAATCCCAAGCAGGCTCCATGCTGACAGCGGGGCTCAAACTTACAAACCATGAGATCATGACCTGAGCCAAAACCAAGAGTCAGACGCTTAACTGACTGAGTCACCCAGGCACCCCAGGTTGCTCTTACTCCTAAGGCCATCTCCCCACGGTGGGTCCAGAAGTATCAGCAATTCACTTTTGCTCCTGAGGAAGAGAAATCTGTACCAATCCTCTAATAGTAATCAAAGGAAATA